TATCTTATCTTAATTAGCTTCTTTATTTATTCACCTTTGTAATAATTACCTTATTTGTTTATATGCATGTTATGATATTTTTGTCTGGTTTATTCTTCCTTTGTATTTTTTTGACCCTATTTATTTCTTCCATGCTATTTATTTTTGCCTGTCGTATATACATTTTTGTATGCATTTCTGCCTCATTATGCAAATGAGGAAGGGTGTGTCTTAAGGGCAGATGGGCCCTATAGTGACGCTTAGAAGTATAATATCATGTACATAAATAAATACTTAGAAAAATAAGTAATAAATGAAGCTGAAGATTATAATAAAAAAATAAATAAATAAGGTAATTATTAAAAAGGCGAATAAATAAATAAGCTAATTAAAAGAGATTCATACATTTATGTCTCACTGTATAATTTAATTTCTACCTACATTTACTTATTTATTGTATTTTTGGGAGCAATTAATTGTATGATTATTTTTATATTGAGCATTTAAATATTTATTTATTTTTAAATATGGCAGAGTTGTTCCTCCATACTCCCATGTCAGAGGATGAACAAAGCCCATCCAGCCAGTCACAGTCAGAGAAACAAGACTACACTGAAAAACAGGCTGATCTCCAATATCTATAAACAAAGGTGTTGATGGCAGCAACACAGCTGATATTTCTCTCCAGGATGGAGTCACAGCCAAACAGGACAGCTTACACTTTGTTTTGCTTAAGCTGTTGGTGCCTGCCATTACAATGCAAGGAGCACCACTCCCACAGAGACGGCAGTAAAAATGCCTACATGTGTAGCATTTGGCTGCAAAAAGGAGCAATTTGCAATTTCACTGTCAAAGGATGTGCTTACTGAAAAAAATCTTTATATATGCCAATGTATCCTATACTGTAGTATTGTATGTAGCGTAACATTAGTCTGACTATTTCAGACTGACTGGAATATATTGACTGAGTTAGCCATCAAAATTGTGTCTAATGTTAGAAAATAGAAATTAGAGTCAATAGAAAGTAATTCACTGTGTTTCTTTTTTGAAATGCATATATATGTTTATTTGAATGTGAATTTACACTACATGTGTAAGTTATTTTAATAAAGTTATTCAGTCACTGGATAGTGTATATGTGAGTTTGTGTTTGTGTGTAAATAAATACTTGTATGTATAGTTTATTCAAATTATCAAATTCTTGTAACTATAAGCAAAAAGCAAAATATGAACTTGATGTTGCTTGTTATTTATTAACTCCACAGAGTTATTAAATTGGTTCATTTAGCTCTATTGTAAATTTCTCAGATTTGAAGGCTAATGCAGAGACACAGTATATGGCATCATGTACGCACAATTTGCAAATAGGAAAATACTATTGCATTACAAGACATGTACTTGTAATTCAGTCTTCATGTAAAATCTTGAAATTATATGTAATATGTAATTACCATAACAATGTAATAAATACATGTCTATTAAATGTACATTATCAATTTAGCAATTTTGGTACATCTGTATTATTATGTTCAAATAATACATTAACTTTATTGTGATGGATTTGTGTAATATGTTATATTACATGATTTAGAGACTTCATTAACTTTATAATGTCTATGCAATGTGAAGTTCCTATTTGTTTAATTATAAATTAAAGTAACCTATTTATGCTCTGAAACAGCAAGTGTGTCTCAAAGTGATGAATTTATATTTATTTCATAGGACTTAAGTCCCCATGAAAATTAGATCATCGTTGTTCGATTGTTTACATTGCTACCAGTCTAACAAGAGAGTACCAATATAGCAGCCAGTGACTTCACTTCAACCACATACTACCGACGAGCAATCTGCAATCCAGTGAATAAACAGAGATCAGTGGGTTCTACGTCTGTTTACATCAGGTCATTGAGCCCGGCTCTGGGGTTCTAGTTAGGCTCAAAACACTATTGGGACAAAGGGTGGAAGTATATGGCCTTAATTTATCAGAAACAACTGGATTTTTTGGTATTAGCCTTTAAAGTGATTATGTACCTTTGAAATACAACAAAAAGTATTTTTTCAAAACATTTTTCAAAGACATTTTTCATCTGAATAGAAATGAGGACACTTGAAAAAAAAATCCACAATATTCTTTTAAATGTTATTCAGGTATTTTTGTATCGCTCCTCTCTGTAGATTCAGCCGTCCATTGCCTTTTTTTGTTATGTCTTGTCTTCTTCCCACCCCACATAATATCTTTGCAGTGGGAAAATAGACCATCTTTGCTTCCATTCTCTGCTGAAGGGCTCTGATGAGTCACTGAAAACCATTTGTTCAAACTTATCTACTGTCTGATCTCCTCAAACAAAAGGGAAAAACACAGGCGCGATGCAGAGCACTGCAAACGTCCATAGAAAGAATACGCTGACAGGTCGCAACAACAGCCACGTTTAGCATTCATCTCTCCCCCTGCCCTGTAACAGGCAGGGCTGCTGACGTATGTAGAGAAAACACACAGCGACCACAGCTGAGCTGCTCCCTTCCTCCCTCTCCTTCTTCCTAAACAGCTTCCCTGCACCTGGGGCTTTCAGAGAGAAAAGTGTGAATTATAGCTAATCATTCTCCAGACAGACAGGTAATTGGATAGAAGACTCTTTTTGTCTTCAGATTCAGTTGAGAAATCTTAGGAGATTTTTTTTCTTACTTTGTCAGTGCCAGTTTGAGAGTATTTTTGTGTGAGAAAAAAAAATGTCCACAACAAAATTAGACAACCATATAGAGTAGATATATATTAAAAATCAATGCTTTATGGCAAAGTATTTACATCAAAATCATTAAACTCTTTACAGCTCAGTTCCATATGTTTTCTACACAGAATAAAAAAGTAAAATGTCCCACTGTACATTCACATGAAGAATAGGCCTACCTAGAAGTAAAAATAGTATTTGTCATCTCCCAAGGCCCTCCCATCCTTCCATTTTGATGTGTTTTAAACAGTTTGACTTAAAATTTCTTACAGAACAATCATTGCTGGTGGATGAGACTTAATTTCACTGAGTCTTATGGATATTTCCATTTTAATGGTAAACGTCTTGTAGTCCCAAACCTAGTTGTAAAAAACATCGTCCTCAGAGAGGGAGCTGCTGTCGACGTGTCGGACAGCAGCTTCTGCCATCACCGTGCTTCTTTCCTCAAAGGGAACATCAATATCCTGCTGAGTGGTACATGTGGGGGACATCAAGCCGACTGGCGGTGGGTGGATCAGGCCGGTTGCAGCTCTGTCGCCATAAGCCTGGGTGTGGATGCTGTACAGATACTGTGGGACGCCGACGCTTCCTCCATCAAGCAAATACTTGGATAAGAAGTGGCCCGCTGCAGCTGAAGAAGGGATATAGGGTCAGTGGGTTGCTCAAACAATTAAAAATTCGACTGGTTCTAGATGGAATTTCTAAGCCTGTTAAAATGACTGCAAAATAAATGTTTGTTTGGTATCTTGAACAGCACTTGATTGTTAAATCCTTTAACTAATAAGACTACATTTATACTCACCAAAGCCAACAGGCAAGTTATCTATGAATTTCTATACGTTTGCCTCATATCATTGATTTAAGGAGTAACTTTTTTTGTAATTGTGTGACTTTTGTGTAACTTGTTTTTGTAACTGTGACAGATAAAAAAAAATTCTACAGTTACAAAACACCACAGTTACAATGCACAAATAGTTTTGCTACAATAGTTCTAAACCATTTGAGGCAAAACTGAGAATGTAAGAGGTTTTTGATGTGCAACTTGTAGAACAGAATTTGTGTACTTGTACTTAAAATTTGAACAGGTGTAAAAAAAAAAGTACTTTTTTTATTCTACTGTACACATACAAAACTTAGAATGAACCTCTCTACAACTTCAAATTCACACTTACAATGCACAAATAGTTTTGAAACAAAATAACCTTCATAGTTATCTTTTATACACTATTTGTTGAAATTTTGCATCATCATTACAGTGCTGGGAAAACTTAAAAACACTTTAAGGCTTCATATCAAACACATTTTAAAAGCAGAGAAAGATAACATTGTTTAATTCTAAATGCAATTTTCAAAAAAGACGGTAATTTATTAGAGAAGATTATTTCTAAGCTTCACAGACTTCTGCAAACCACAGTGGGAACCATTATCCACATATGAAAACCAGATGGAGTAGTTAGTCTTCCTAGGAGTGGCCGGATAAGTAAAATAACTACAAGACACAACTGAGATCAATCCAAGAGGTTACAGAAGAACCCAGAGGAACATTTAAGGCTCAGTTAAATCAATGATTTCAGTTTGTTTTTCAGGACACATTCTGCTCCAGGAATTTGTTATGTTCCTGTGTCTAGTCCCCTTATAGTCTGTGTCTGGTTCATCATTAATCAGATGTCTGCCTCTCTCCTGCTTGCATAAGGGACTTCATCTTTAACAAAACATGACAGAGACGAGCTGTTTACACTGCAAAAAATTGAAGTGCATTTTTTCGGTGATTAAGCAGGTAAGTGAGGATAAGGTAATTTACATTCAAAATAAGAAAAACAATTGCATTGTCATATTTCATTGCATATTTAATTATCTTACTTTAAGGGTAAAAATTAGGGCTGAAACAATTAATCAGATTAATGGCGAGCAATTGATTATTGAAATAATCGTCAACTAATTATGCCATTTAAACTATTATTTTCATTCAGGAAAACGTCAATATTCTCTATCCAGAACTCATCAAGTGGAAAAGTTTTAGTTTAGTTTTTTAGTAATTGTGTCAAAAATCTTCTTTAAAGAACCTTTGGCTATCTGATTATTAATCGATTAATCGAGAAAATAATCAACTGGTTGTAGCCCTGGTAAAAATATTAATTCCATTCTTAGATCATCATATTTACACTGCAAAAAAATCTTAATCTAGATAAGTCATTTTTTTCTTTAAAAAAGTGCATTTGTTCTTGAATTGAGGAGGTAAAAGAGGCATTCTGCCAATGAAACAAGACAATTTACACTTAAAATAAGAAAACACTATTGCATTGTCTTATTTCAAGTACATATTATCTAATTATCTTATTTTAAGAGTAAAAATAATCATTCCATTGGCAAACTTTCTCATTTACCTACTCAAATCAAGGGTGAATACACTTATTTAAGGAATTTTTCACTTATTTCTAGATCTTTTTTGCAGTGTACCAACTCAGACGAAGGGTGAATACAGTTATTTTAAGAAATATTCTCTTTGTCAGTTACTGTTGACACTGGAAATTGTTGGGTTTAGGGACAATTTGCCTAAACCCAACAAGGGCTAGTTGGTTCTGGGAAGGTTCTGGGAAGGTAAAGATGGTAAAGATGGTAAAGAAGGTAAAGATGAAAAAATATATATCATTTAAGTTTTTACCTTGCTTTTATTAGTTATTGAATTTTAAAGAAAAACTATTTTACTACTAAGTAATTTTCATAGAGACAATCAGGACTTCACTAACATGTCTAATAACTCAGATGTTTAAGACTATGTAGGACTTTACTTATAGTTTAAACACTAACAGAGGGCAAAGAATTAGATTATAACCATGTGTTCTGGATGGATGTAATTATCTATGTGTACATTTGATTTGGGATGGAAAAATAAGCTGGGAGTAGTCTGCCTTTAATTCAATTTAAACTGCAAACTGGACAAATACACGGAAACAAGTAATCATCTAGCACTGGGCATATTTTACTGTTTGGAGCATACAAGATGTTATGAATTTCACTTGCTTTAAAAAAAAGGTATATCTGTATTTTGAATCTGTACTTTGAATAATTGTTTTACAAAAGTCTAACTTGGAAGTGGGGCAAAAATGGTATAGAGATTCCTCTTCAAGTTACAAGCAGAGAGAGTAAATTCTGCGACTTGCAAACATATCAATCATAAATTAAACACGCAAGCACAGAGAAAATGAGACCAGCAAACTCAAAATATAGACAAGCAAACACAAACATTAGACTACCAAACAAACATGTCAGCAGTAAACTCAGAACTTAGATAACAAACACAAAAAGGAGAGCAGAGAACTCAGAAAATTGATTTTCAAACATAGACATCAGACTAAAACTGTCATGAGGGCGCTGATGGCTGGCTTAATTACTCCTTTCATTCATCTACCTAGATCCACCCATTTTCTCATCAACAATCATCTGTTCACCTGCTCCAGTCTCTATTTAACCTCCCTTCTTCCAGTCACCAGTGGGCACGGACTGAACTTTACGACCAGGCTAGTGATTCACACGTTCATAATCTGCCTCCGCCAGATTGACGTGTTCACTAACCTGTGATTCTTCCTGCAGAGGTTTTTGCCTTAGACGCTCTGGCTGTTCACTTCAGATATGTCGTTTTTAATAAACATTATTTAAAATTTCGTTATGTCAGTCTATCAGATTACTGGGTTCTCTGTTCTGAGTTCTGACAAACACATAAACAAAAAATAAACTTGTAAAAAATGCAATAGAGAAATACTGCAATGACAGATAATAGCAAAGTATAAACTCTCTGTAAAAAAAAAACAAACAAAAAAAACTGCTACAAATATGTAATTCAAGCTAACACACAAGCATACAAAACCCATGCAAATGAAAAATGCTAAAGGTAACCTAAGGGTGCATTCCCACCGAACGCAAACCCTTTAAAAAAAAAGAATTCAGTTTTATCTGCTTTTGCTGGCCTTGAAATTCGCCTGGCCAGCGAATGTGTTTCGCACAGCAGGCGACTTCACCCAGCAGGACAAAGGCCCCTACATCATGGAGTTTGATTATCGTTGGTTTCAAAAACCGAGTTGTCGGTGTTCCTAGGTTCACCAGATTCCCAGAGGCGAAACCAGTACGGTAAATACCACCACCTACTTCAGAGGCAACATATACCCTTATGCAAGAAATTTGCATTCGGTTTGACAGAACCTTAAGACTAAGCAACTGCAAATTAAAACAAGCTGTAAACTAGTCCCACTTCTAATGTATGAATAAAATAAGGATTCCTATTCATTTCATATACATCATACATATATTTGTTTAAATGTTCAATTTGGAGTACATTCTAAAGACATGATGTTATTATGTAAAACAACACTTTTATACTTGTCCCTTGGATGAAGTCAAACTGGCAGGCCAATATTACAGTAGGGTTTTATATCAAAATTCAAAACCGCTTTTGCTTTAAAATACAAGTTCACTCTCTGATCTATTCAAAGTTTTTTCTCTCAAAAATCCATTAGAGAAAATGAAAGGCGTCGGATAATAAGTTTGGGATTATAATCAGCCAAAGCCATTACAGAAGAAATGGTCTGTGATGTTGTTTTAATCTCTGGGTTCATTTGTATTCAGTGAATCTTACAGGGCTTCCCTGAAAAGGTATCAAGACTAAAAGCATCTGTGACTCACCAACCTTGAGAGCTGGTAGACGGTTGCTCATAGCTATCGCTCATGGACCACACGTTCATTGCCGCTTCAGCCAGAGCAAACTGTTCTGCTACACCTGAGAAAGAAACAACAAATTCATTTCCTATTGAGACAACCCCATGTTGTGTCTCCGGTGGTCTATTGGACATCACAAATAAAAGAAAATCCAATAGGAGGAGCCCTTTGAAGCCCTTAGTGTTATTGAATTCTGCAGTCCAGCCTAATCAAACCGAAACAAGTTCAGAGATCAGAGCATTTCTTATCTTTCACTCCATCCATTAGTCTCACCTGCAGCAAAACGGGCCTCTTTGATTTCATCTGTCATTTGGGAGTAGAACTGCTCGTCCTCCTGCAGCTCCGTCCCCATGCCCCCACATCCTCCTCCTCCTCTACTCCAGCCTCCACTCCACCCAGCCCCGCTTCGCCCCACCTCACCACATCCACCCCATCCTTTCCACTCAATCAGGTGAGCAACTCGCCCCTGGGCCATCGCTGTGGGCTTGGTGATGTGCTCCTTTATCGTGGCCACTAAGCCTGAACAAAGAGAGGAGGAGAAGAGGAAATGCATCTTAATATAATTTACTGGATAAAAGGTAAGCTGGCTGAAAGAAGGAACTAAATGGGCCATTTAATGAGCAGGAACAGTATCTGTTGCTGCAGTCAGATTAGGAAGCAGAAAAGAAATAGAACAGGAAAAAACTGCTTCCAATATATTTTTATTTAGCTTTACTATATAAGTCTTGAAAACTTTATGCATAAAAATTATACCAAAGTGAACATGATCAATCCAATGCACCTTTTCATAATAGGGCATTCTTAAAAGGTGTGTAAACGATGCAGTGAAAATAAAATTTCTATATATCACTTTTTCTTAAAGGTTACAATTCATCCTCAGTAAGATGTTGGTTTGAATGTCTAAATCAAATAATTTTCCGACATAATGGG